TGGAAATTGTTAGGGTCTCAGAGGAGGTGCAGTCCTGGACTGGACTGGGCCATTCTAACACATGGATATGTTTTGTTTTAAACCATTCCATTGTTGCCCTGGCTTTATGTTTAGGGTCGTTGTCCTGGTGGAAGGTGAACCTCTGCCCCAGTCTCAAGTCTTTTGCAGACTCCAAGAGGTTTTCTTCCAAGATTGCCCTGTATTTGGCTCCATCCATCTTCCCATCAACTCTGACCAGCTTCCCTGTCCCTGCTGAAGAGAAACACCCCCAGAGCATGATGCTGCCACCACCATATTTGACAGTGGGGATGGTGTGTTCAGAGTGATGTGCAGTGTTAGTTTTCTGCCACACATAGCGTTTTGCATTTTGACCAAAAAGTTCCATTTTGGTCTCATCTGACCAGAGCACCTTCTTCCACATGTTTGCTGTGTCCCCCACATGGCTTGTGGCAAACTGCAAACGGGACTTCTTATGGTTTTCTTTTAACAATGGCTTTCTTCTTGCTACTCAAATTCAAATTTTATTTGTCACGTACACAGTCATACACAGTACAATATGTAGTGAAATGCTTGGACAACTGCTCGTGACCTAAAGAAAACAAAAAAGGAAAAGGCTATGAATAAGATAGGAAATAAATATGAAAAATTAAAAAGGGTAAATTTAACTAGGAAGGAATAAAATATAAATTAAGGTTAAAAATGAAATAACTGTACAACACAAATTAGAATGAAGGGTAAATTTAACTCTTCCATAAAGGCCAACTTTGTGCAGTGCACGACTAATAGTTGTCCTATGGACAGATTCCCCCACCTGAGCTGTAGATCTCTGCAGCTCGTCCAGAGTCACCATGGGCCTCTTGGCTGCATTTCTGATCAGCGCTCTCCTTGTTCGGCCTGTGAGTTTAGGTGGACGGCCTTGTCTTGGTAGGTTTACAGTTGTGCCATACTCCTTCCATTTCTGAATGATCGCTTGAACAGTGCTCCGTGGGATGTTCAAGGCTTGGGAAATCTTTTTGTAGCCTAAGCCTGCTTTAAATTTCTCAATAACTTTATCCCTGACCTGTCTGGTGTGTTCTTTGGACTTCATGGTGTTGTTGCTCCCAGTATTCTCTTAGACAACCTCTAAGGCCGTCACAGAGCAGCTGTACTGACATTAGATTACACACAGGTGCACTCTATTTAGTCATTAGCACTCATCAGGTAATGTCTATGGGCAACTGACTGCACTCAGACCAAATGGGGCTGAATAATTACGCACACCCAACTTTTCAGTTATATATTTGTAAAAAATGTTTGGAATCATGTATGATTTCCGTTCCACTCCTCACGTGTTCACCACTTTGTATTGGTCTTTCACGTGGAATTCCAATAAAATTGATTCATGTTTGTGGCTGTAATGTGACAAAATGTGGGAAAGTTCAAGGGGGCCGAATACTTTTGCAAGCCACTGTATGTGGGTAAGAGACAAGACAGTTACATACATACATGGTCATGGGATAGAGCGTATGGATTCAATGATCATAGTCACATGTGGGGGGTCAGGTCAAAGTGTGTAAATGTATTGTGTGACAAAGGTTATAAATGTACCAGACTGAAGGAGCGCCCTTCAGATCTGCAGGAGGCTTCGCACTGTGCACATCTCCCCATATGGGTAAATAAAGAGGAACATGGGAAGTGAAGTATTCTGTCTCGAGTCATGTGTTTTCTACCAGGTCAGAATCAAAAAAATCAGGAGCGACAGGAAGTCGCAACACTATGGAGCACATGTTCCATTAATACTTCAAATAAATACTTACAACCACTCTGAGCCACTTTTGTTCCTGGAAGCTCCTGTTTAACATTATAGACGCAAAGTCTGAGTGGGGCCAAGAAAGGGATTAGCAGTAACACCAGAGGAGTAAAACACCAGCTCCAGCTAGGGTAGAGGAGTCTATTGAGACTGTAGACTAGACTGACCTATGGCTCACACATGGATCCTGGAATGGCTGGAAGCTGTAAAAGGTAATCAAAACCCTAGGAGCCTTCAATAGCACCTCAGTGGAGTTGTGAAAAAAAAACATTAGAGGAGTGTAAATGTGTATGAATGTTACACAGAAATCACAGACAAAGAAAAAAAGTACTTGTATGAATGGGTGAGAAGGGGTGAATGAGGCATGTTGTATAAAGCGCTTTGACTGCTCAGGTAGAGTAAAACTCACAATCAGTTCATTAAGAATAATAATTTAGGTAAAACTGCACACTTTGTAAAAATCACAATATCAATGTGACTTTTAAATTACAAATTTAAAGACAAAAAATTTTACGCATACAGTTTGCATCCTTTAAATTCACATTGGCATTAAAAGGTTTTACACTGGTGTACACTGACTGCTTCCATTTTAGACTAATAGCAACCACTTCCACATAAGTCCATATTTGACTGCTCATCCTTCTGTAATTACGAATGTCATCTGAAGTAGCTCAGTTTAAACAGGGCAATTACAGTCCAACTTGAGAGTATCACCCACTGTTTGATCCAATAATTAAAAATAAAACATAGAAATTAAATTATTTCTGTGCATGAATACTTATAGCTTGATTGTCTGAATCCAGCAATAGGGGATTACATTTACTTTTTCTAAATTTTAGACATTAAGGCATTTTAGAACGTCTTAAGGATATCAGAGCATGGCTGGCTCTGAATATTTTACATTTTAATGAAAAGAAGACTGAAATCATTATATTTGGGCCGAGTGGACCTGGTGTCCCACCATCTGACTTGGGTCCTCTTACATCCTGTGTCAAACCAATTGTCACCAAACTTGCAACATTTGCAACTCAACTGAAGCAGCAGAAGTAGCATTCATAAAAAATAAATCTCTCCAAAGTATCTAAAACCAGAGTTTCGTTTCTGTCTTGTTTGTTCTATGCTTTCCGATGGCATCCTGTGTGCATGCCATGGGAAAAACAAGGAGACTGTAGGAGGCACATAGTCTGTTTAGCGTTTAATTTTTTTCTGACTCAGATAACTTTGGCCCACCCTAACAGAATACGGACTTTGGATAGGGAACCTTACCACTCCCAGTTGTTTGGTCTATTGTTTTTCTTGTGTTCGTCAATGTGAAAATGGAAAAAAAAGATTACGTTTGTGCTCATATTACTCCTCTGCTGCTATGCTGCATCTTCAGGTAAGCTCATATTTCAAGTTTTTCATTAAAAAAAAATATTTCTCTTAATTTATGCGAGATTGAATTGCAAGAGACATGGTCTTTTAGTTTTACTATGAGCTGTCGCCATTTTACTCATTTGTTTGTTTGGTGGAGAGTGTCAATAACTGACATTGACAGCTAACATCACCTAAATTGTCAAAAAGGCACAGGGAGATATTTAAGCATATAGAAGAGGGATTTTAGACCAGCAACTGTGGCTATGCTTTTACAGATGTTTTGTTCAAAGAATTCTCACTCTTCTTTATTTCTTAATAATAATAATAATATATTCTTAGTTTCTTTATAACACCAGCTGTATGTTAGTGCAATAACAAAAAAGTATTCTGTTTTATTCTTAAGGTGAGTGGTGGTGAAAGGAAGATGTGGGCACCCCTGAAATGTCACAGTCTCAGTAGGAGAAATTAATATTATCAGTGAATGTACTTTTGTTGTAAACGTGGCTTTAAGAATGTGGTATGGTTTTCCTGTATGTACTTGCAATGTAATTTTTGGAGTAGTAAGAATAAAGAGTTAGAGAAGAATTATTAGCAGAAATGTAATTTTATTCAACACTAAGATATTTCATCAGTGAGTAGGTTTTAGGTGCGTTTTCACCCCAATACGTTTTAAGACAATGCTGAATCTGAAACTATTTCTACCGTATTTTCTGCACTATAAGGTGCACTTAAAATTCTTTAATTTTCTCAAAAATCGACAATGTGCCTTATAATCTGGTGCATCTTATGTATGAATGTTGGTTGTACTTAATGACCTTGAGCTGATTTTATGCGGTACACAGCGCTCAAAAATCTGTCAAAAAATGTTTTAGTATGACTTTGGTAAGCTACGAAGCCGCACCGCTTGATGGATTGTCGGAGCATTATGGCTACAATAGTCAGGACCCTCGTGGAGTAATCTGGGTCCAAAACTCTGTCCACTTCAGGTCCCAAAGTCAAAAGAACACTGCGGCATCACTGAGAGTTAAAAACTGTCTAAATCCTTTCATCTGTAATAAAATGATCAGCGTTGCTGCTTTACCAGGCGTAAGGATTAGATTTAACATCCAGGCACCCATGATAACAGAATTTGTTAAATTTAACAGAGTTAAAAGTTAGCAGGAAGTTAGCTCACTGGTTTCCACCTAAACATCATATACCATGTTCTGACTGAGAGATTTCTGAAAAAATTAAAACGTACAGCTCTGCTATCACTTCCAACATATATGAAGACAAAAACCTAAACAGCAGTGACTTTTGTAGGGTTACTGAAGTTGGACTAGCTGGTATATAATGATGTACTACGTGATTGCTAGTGACACAGCTATGTTAGCATAACATTAGCACACTGAAGCTGGAGGATGAACGCTAACCTTTTTCCATTCGATAAAAGTTAACCTGAGGGTTCCTGATGGTTAGGGACAAATGCAATCGCATGGCAGGATGCTGTAAACGGACCGAACTTCAGTCAGGAGAACAATTGAGATAATCAATCCACAATACGAGGTTAGTCATTAATATACTGCAACAAAACCGGAATAGAGCAGCTGCGAGAGAATTCAACATTAATGAATCAATGGTACGGAAGTGGAGGAAGCAAGAAGAATGAGTTGAGTAAAGTTTGACTCATCTGACTGTTTTGTTTTGCTTAATGCGCCTCATAATCTGGTGCGCCTTATTTATAAAAACAGACCCATTCATTGACAGAGCGCCTTATAATCTGGTGCACCTTATGGTCTGAAAAATATGGTAATGATACAAAAAAACCCTATATAATAGGAATGTATGGTAATTCAGATTTCTCCCAATTTTACAGTAAAACATTCCTTGAAGTATTTCTTCACTGAAACTCCTGGAGCTCAGAGCATTCCTGAGTTTGTGGCTGTTGCATTTGTTGATGAAGTTCAGATAGGTGACTCCAACAGTGTAAGAGAAGCAAAACCAAAGAAAGACTGGATTAAATTCTTTGAGGATCATCCTCAGGACCTGGAGTGGTATAGATTTCAATCTAATGAAATTCATCAATTCTTGAAGGCTACCATTGAGACTTTGAGGCGACGTTTGAACCATACTGAAGGTACAGATTTGTTTTACTTGTTACTGCTGAAACATTTTGTTTTAAATCATTTTTCATTTTAAAAAGCCTTTATTTTTGCATTGTTTATTTGTGGTAAAGGTATAGTTTCAGGTATAAGCTGTATTGACATCTTACGGGTTTATCACAGTCACTGTTACTGTCTTTCTTTTCAGGTGTTCATATTTTGCAAAGGATGAGTGGCTGTGAATGGGATGATGAGACTGGAGAGATTAATGGATATGATCAGTATGGCTATGGCGGAGTAGACTTTCTTGCATTTGACTCGCAGACACTGACATGGATCGCTCCTAAACCACAGGCTGTCATCACCAAAATGAGATGGGATTCTCATAAACCTGGATTGGAATCAACTAAAAACTTTATAGCTCATCAGTGCCCTGAGTTTTTAAAGGAGTATTTGCAATATGGGAGGAGCTTTTTGCAGACAACAGGTAGAATTACATAATCTAATGAAATGTAATAGAAACTTTATATGGGTTTTGTGCTTCAAAGGTAGAGTAAAATAAAATAAAGAATGTAACAACTGCCAGTCTCTCTGCAGTTTTTCCCTCAGTGTCTCTCATCCAGAAAACTTCCTCCTCTCCAGTCAGCTGCCATGCTACAGGTTTCTATCCTGACAGAGCCGTGATGTTCTGGAGGAAAGATGGAGAGGAGATTCATGAAGGTGTGGATCCTGGAGAGAGCCTCCCCAACAATGATGGGACCTTCCAGATGAGTATTGATCTCAATGTTTCATCAGTCACACCTGAAGACTGGCAGAGGTACGACTGTGTGTTTCATCTCTCTGGTATGAACGAGGACATGATCACCAAACTGGACAAAACAGTGATCAGGACCAACAGGGGTAAGACAAGAAGATTACTCAAACTAATGTCTGAGTAACTGTAATGACTGAATAGTAATGATTTTGTGTCATTTATTGTTTCACTCAGAGATGTCAAACTTCTCAACTTCCTTGGTGTCGGCACAGTTTTCTGTTTAATATTCTAAAATGCTGCCATGTGTTGTTCAACAGAGAAGCCAGCTGACACTGTGACCTTCATCAGTGCTGCAGTGGTTGTTCTAACTCTTACCATCGTCACAGGTGTGGCATTTGTAGCTTACAAAAAGAAGAAAGGTGAGAAATCTGAATGTGGGAAATATTAAGTTTAGTTTTTGAATTCATCTCCGAAATCTTACTGCCAGATCAGTTTGGACACAAACACCTAAATTCTAAAGTAATTGTATAAGGCTCAGAGCCACAGTGAGATGATTACAGGCCATGAGAAGGATGATATGTGAAGAAAAAAAGTACATTACAAAGGAAATGCATACAAGATATTTGTGGAATCAAGAAAAATACAAAACAAAAAATAACTGATATGGTTTATTTTTGTTTGTTTCAGTGATATGCTCTACATCCCGTAAGTAAAATCTGCTTTTATTAATTTGGAATTTTTCAGATGTGGAATGTGATTAGAGACATTATAATCAGGATTTACGTGAAAGGAAAGTATAGATTCATTCAGTTTCATTATACATATTCTGATCACTTGGATGCCACTGATCTCCCTGGGAAGCAGGGTCATTTATTCAAACAGAAACCAACAATCACTACAAATGATCTCCTTCAAAACGATAAAATATTTGTAAACTGTGTATTTGTTATCTTCCAGCTCCTGACGATGGCTCTGAGCAGTCTGAGAGACTAAATCCACAAAGTTGACTGTCCTGCAAAGAGTTCTTCACTTTACTGTCTGAATGACTTTCCTCCAGCTGCTGCAGACACTTCCACATTTCAAAGACATATATTAAACACACCTGTTAATAAAACACAGTTGATGATCATATTTTGCAGATCACTGAGAACAGGCTGCTACACTTCCTCTAAATTAGTGCATGGTCATATAATTGTATCTAGCTACTGTGTGTACATGTTTCATGCAATTATGACTTCTGCTTCAGTATGATCTATGTAATCCCTGTATCGATGCAGCGGTATCACAAGTCTGCTAAAACATTTGCTAAACTAAATGTTTCAACTTTATTGATTTTTATGCATCTGACAATGACAGTTTGTTAGACCTAAAGTGTGTGATTTCAATGAGACGTTGGCAGTGCACAAAGCATGCAGTATTTTTCAAATGACACCAACACATTTGAAGGATGACAGCAACAGACTTTCATTTGGAAATAAAATTTTATGAGTTTATTATTTTATTCTTCTGTGAAAATGACTAACCCGGGATTTACTACATTTGATTTGTGAGGTCTCATGACCTTGATCTTTGACCACCTCTGGCTGTCTTGATTCAAACAAGGAAAACTGTTGTTTTGATTCTACTATAACTTCCTCACTGTGTTCTGTCTCATGTGTTCAAACAAACAATTTAAATAACTTGATGTTTGAACATTACTGTTATATAGAAAATATTTTTGTTTTAGCTCAGAAGGTAAAGTTTTATATGAGGAATCATATAAAATTACAACTGCTATATGACATGATAACATTCTCTCTATCAGATGGGAGTATCAGCAATGATCTGATAACAACCTGTCTGAAGCTGCAAGTAAAAACAACCTGACACTGTTCAGATTAGGGATAAAAGAAAATATGCAAAATACATAACTGATATAAGTGTCTCTTTCTACAGTTTCTGGCCTTCTGTCACAGCAGCTCTCAGGTCTAACTACTGTTACGAAATCAGTTTCACCCCGGTTCTTTTTATTCCTCGGGCATCCAGAGACGGCACCGGACTCAGTAGTCATTTTCACAAAAACCTTTATTGTGTGGATGCTTTAAGCATCCACACTATTGAGTTCCTCTTGATACTTCCGTACACTTTTCGGCACTTAACTACTTCCACAATTTTCAGCCGATTTTCACCGTTCAAATTTTAAACTATTCTGCTATTTCTGCTAATGTGTGCTATGTCTTTTGGTATTTTTCACTATTATACTTTTTAAAATATTAGCTTAATTTGTCCCATTGAAATGAATGGGAAACTTCTGCAATTCTGCTAAAATTTTCCTGTTTTTGAAACTTAACTACTTCCTCATATTTTCACGTAGACAACCATTCAAACTTTAAAATGTTCTGAAATTATTGGGCTATTCAGGTATAAATCAGCTTTTTCAAATCTTTTACCGTTTTATTTTTATGCCTCGTAAAGTTTTCAGTTGCAAAATTGTGATTTTTCACAAAATACATGCGTTGTTATGGTTGCTATGCACTTGGCTTCCAGTGTGCCACTGAAGGTTTTGCAGTCTTCTCTTCATGTCCGAACAACTTCTTGCTACTTGCTCAATTTTCACTCAACTTCCACAAATTATACATCAAAACGTAGGTATTTTTGCTGGCTTTCCGAAAATGTCACTATCATTGTTGTGGAATTTATAGAATTTTGGCAATCTCCTCAGACCAACACAAAGTCGCAAAACTCTCCATAGAAAGTCAATGGAGAGTTTGTTCAAAATCACCGCTTGATTTCTGTAATGAGAGGCATATTCGAATCGTCATATCTCCTTAATGAAGCAAAGTTAAGACATAAGGCTTGTCCCAGTATATCTTCAGACACTCCTGACGCTCACAATTCAAGAATGATTTTCTCACCTATTACCGTTCTGAAATGAGTTAGACTTGTTTGAGGGTAGGAAATTCGTCCTTCGCTCAGATTTCTTCAGATTTCAAACTCTGGAAATGAACCACTTATTTCTCTCATATCTTTTTAATGGATTTCCACAGAGACCTGAAAATTTCCATGATTGTTCACCAAAGCCTGCTGTCTCTTACGGTGAAAGAATGATATTGATACTCCAAATAGATTTAGAGTTAGAAAGCGTTGTTTGAGGGCAAGTCAAGGCAGTTTTTGCTTTGCGCTACTCAGTTATGGTGCATTAGAAGTCAAATATCTTTAATAATTCATATTTTAATGATAAATTGTCAACACTTTAAGATTCCCCCATCTCTTCTGAACAAAACGGTGTAAGAATGACCGTTCTAGCCCCTACGGTTAGGAAATTATGGTCATTTGTTTGAGGGGAGTCGTCATTATGAGAAATAGACTGCAAAAATCCTGTGTCTCTCTGTGCTGCGTGCACCTGTTTTGGCGGGAAAAAGTACACAGGCTCTCTGATTGGTGGATTCAAATTCAGCAGCTCCCAGGCTGCTTGACTGAGCTAGAAACTTACTTCTCTCTCCCTCTGTGTGTGTGTGTGTGTGTGTGTGTGTGTGTGTGTGTGTGTGTGTGTGTGACAGAGAGAGAGAGAGAGAAAGTCTTTTAATGGGATGATCTCATTGTAAGATTCAAATTCAATATATTTAGACTGGTTGACTGAATTGGATCTTGTGTGTGTGTCTCTGTTATATATTTTTTTGCCGATTTTTTTCATTTAACAAGCATATTTGAGGGACCCTCAGCATGTTCAGCATTTTTTCAGCTGTCCATTTTGCTTTTCCAATTTTTCTGTATAAGATATTACTATTGTGCTAAATCATACTATTTCTGCTATTTTATAAGATTTGTGCTAAATATAGTATTTCTGCCAAATATAGTATTTCTGAATAATTATAGTTTTTCTACCAAATCACAGTATAGTATTTTTGCTTTTTATAGGATTTTTATAGGATATTTATATTGCTTAATATAGTATTTCTGCTTTTTATAGTATTTGTGCTAAAACATAGTATTTCTACTAAATGTAGTATTTATGCTTAATCATACTATTTCCATATATTACTGCCAGGTCCCCAGGCAGCCAATCCTCTGTGAGGCCTGAGACATTCAAATTTACATATCAGGGCCTCCACGGCTTCCCAGCCAGCCAATCATATATGTGGGCTGAGGCATTCAAATTTGCATATTGGGGCCTTCGTGGCTTCTAAACCAACCCGTCATCCATGTCATATATCTCTAAAAATTCATATTTTAATGATAAATTGTCAACACTTGACGATTCCCCCATCTCTTCTGAACAAAACTGTGTAAAAATGACCGTTCTTGCCCCTACGGTTAGGAAATTATGGTCATTTGTTTGAGGGGAATCCTCACTATGAGAAATAGACTACAAAAATCCTGTCTCTGTGCTGCGTGTGTGCACCTGTTTTGGCGGGAAAAGTACACAGCCTCTCTGATTGGTGGATTCAAATTTATCAGCTCCCAGGCTGCTTGACTGACCTAGAAACTTGCTTCTCTCCCTGTGTGTGTGTGTGTGTGAGAGAGACAGAGAGAGAGAGAGAGAGAGAGAGAAAGACCCTCTTTAGGGCAGCATCTCATTGTTTGACTGGCATAGACCCTGTGTATGTGTCTCTCTCTTTACATTTCTGTATTTATTTATTTGTATTTCTTTTTTTCCCCACAGTTGAACAATAATTAGTTTTGAGACAGCTTAACCATGTTCTGTTTTTTTCTCAGCTTGTCATTTTAGTTTTCCAGTATTTTCACTTAAGTTATAACTATTCTGATCAATCATAGTATTTGTTCTAAATCATTGTTATTATGCTATATTGTAGTATTTCTGCTAAATCATACTATTTCTACTATATTATATTTTTCTTTCTAAATATAGCATTTCTGCTATATAATTGTATTTCTGCTATCTTATAATATTTGTGCTAAACCAGAGTATTTGTGCTGAATCATAGTATTTCTGCCAAATGATAGTATTTCTGCCAAATTACAGTATTTGTGCTAAAACATAGTATTAATTTAAAATTACAATATTCATAGTTCATCACAGTGTCTCTGGTAAAACACAGTATTTCTGCTATGTTGTACTATTTTTCTAAATCATAGTGTTTCTGTAATGTTTAAGTATTTTTGGCTAAATATATTCTTTCTGTTAGCTTATACTATTTCTCCTAAATTCTTGTATTTTTGAGAAGTTGTCATGTTTCTGGTAAGTTACAATATTTCTGCTAAGTTCTCCTATGCTATTGTATTTCTGCCAAGTATTATGTTTCCTCTAAGATATTGCAGTTCTGCTAAGTTATTACATTTTAGCAAAGTTCCTTTGCTTCTGCAAAGTTTTTACAATTTCTGCAACTTTTCAGCTTTTTCAGCTAGTTTTTGCATACAGCTTCAGCTTTAAAGCATCCACACTGCATTTTCGCAGGAAATGCAAATTTTTCTAGTTCATCTTCATTTAAGCATGCATCTTCTAGAAGGGGAGACGTGCAAGGCCGGTGTCCCTCTGCAGATCTTGCACTCCTTTGTTTGTTACAGCCAGCTTTATAGAAGTGACCCCATCATAAAACCCCCATGGTGTACAGCAAACTCTGTGTTTGTGTGTGTATGCATGAGCACATGAGTGCCTGTGTGCATGTGGGTGTGTGAGTGCAACAGTCAAAGCACTGTGTGTGTGTGTGTCTCTGTGTACGTGACTTCCTGTCGGTCATAAAAGTAATCTCCTCACCCAAGCTACACCAAATTCTTCTACACAACACAGAAAACAGAGTTAACGCATTACAAACACTGAGACCCCCACTCTGCATCCACTAGGCCATTGGCCTCTTGTTGTCTTACATTTACAGATAAGGTGGAGAGTCTCCTGCAAACCTACTTCTAAGTTATAACAATTATGAGTTTTTATTAAAGGTACAAGCATCAGCTACCCCCAACTGTAGCTTCCTGTCTCCTTTTATGACAGGCAGACCCCCAGTGTCCTTAAATTCCTTTCCCTCTAAACAATTACACACACTCTCAGGCCTACAGCTAAGCCAAACTGAAACACAGACAAATCCTTCCTTATTCCTCTGATCTAAACAAATTTAACACATCATATTATAATAATTATTTTCTTGTACTCACACTACAAATAAAGAATACCAGAAAAAAATTCAGATTCTAACGGTGTGTTCACACCGAACGCGATGGACGCGAATAGAGCGTCAGGTTTACATGTAAAGCCAATGGAAAGGCGCGATGACGCGCGATTGCGGGTCCCGCGAAAATTCGGAAGCAGATTTGCGTCGCGAAAACGCCAAACGCGTGAAACGCCAAACGCGTGAAACGCGCGTCTGGCGCGTTTGATGCGCGAATAAAACCACGCACGTGAGTTTTTGTGTTGCATTTTGTGCATACGCGCGTTTCGCATCTACCGCTCGAGTTGGAAAAATCTGAACTCCAGCGTCAAATCGCGCCGCGACAACCAATCAGGAGCCTGGTGACGTGGCTCTGACCTAGGTCAAAGGGGCAGATCCAGCCAAAGTCCTTCATTCTTCATTCAGTATGGAGGAAAAGCTAATCAGTGCTGTGGCTAATCACCCCGAGCTGTATGATGCCAGCTACTATTTCTACCGAGACAGGAA